GATGAGCTTGTCTCATATCCATTTGGTCTTCAGTTGGATGACTTCACCATAAGAACAAAAACTTGGATTTATGATTTGTTCACAAATGCTCATTGGTTATCAGATACAGTAAGTTTTTATTCTAAAAAGCAAATTGTACTTGTATATGCAAATTTGAATATACATTTATTGACTTCAAATTTGAATATACTAACCTGCTATTTTAATATTATATTTATTTCAGCATATTGCAATTGCATTTTACTACCTAGGAGTCAAGAGGAAGCAATATAATTTGAATCAGGAGTATGCCACAACAGATCCATTATTTGTTGGCAATATAATGAACACTATACTAGGAACCAACCAAGGGAATGGCGTGCCATGGGTAGAAGCTGATTACGTATACATGTGAGTGAACACGGGGATGCATTGGGTGCTATTGGTGTTAGACATTAATGGGAAGCGCATTCGAGTTTATGACTCTATGAAGAGAAGGGGGGATACATTGTCCACCGTAAGATCATTTACACCATGTTTGGAGTCTTTCTTACCAAAGGTAATGGAAACATTAGGATTCTTTGACAAACGTCCACATGCAGCAATTGGAAAGGGGAAGTTGAAGATTGAAATGGTGCGAAACAATCCACAACAACAGGATGCGTAAGTATCTCATAAATTGTAGCTACAGTTCATTTGAAATGTGGAAAGTCATATAGAAATTAATATGTTGTCATGTTGCAGGTGGAATTGTGGGATGTTTGTGATAAAAGTTGCAGAGTTTTTAATGCTTGATAGGGAGGCGACTGAGGTTACAAATGATGACATGCAGATGTACCGAGAAAAGATAACAACAGAACTGCTTTTGTATGCATCAAAGGAAGAATAGATTTAGTAAATGGTTTTTGTGATATGTATCGTAAACATAACAAATTTATGCTGGTTACTATGTACTTGAGGGCATTGATTCATGTTTGGTTGTATTAAGACTTTAAACTGCACTTATATAAGAAGACCTATATTAATGTCTATTTTATGCCAATGTGTAGACATTAAATGACAATGTTTTGTTGTTGTTGTTGTTGTTGTTGTTCTTTTTAAAGTCAAAAACCAAATACGTAGATATACGAATGCATACTATGTATTTTATAATAAAATAAATTTAAAGATGGAGTATTAAAAGTACTTAAATAACAAAGCAAGATTTTAGGTGTACCATATAAAGGTAAATTTAATATTTGAAATACAAATGATATGTGAAAAACTAATGTATTATCTTTTTAATGTTATTAGTTTATAAAATTCATATGCCTTACAGTAGAGAGATTTTCATACTTGAATTTCTTGGTCAAAAGAGATAATTGTTCAAGAATATTATATGCAACGAAGACATTAATAATTCAATACTAGTCAATAAGTAGACAATAATGAGAAAATAAACATCGAGCGCCTTCAAATTAGTAACAACGCTAGATAAAAAAAGATTGACGACAGGAGTATTTATTGGTAAAAACATCCATAAAATCATTATTCTTTAAATCAATAAGGATCCATATAGCAGAATGCAATAAAAAAACACAAGTGTCACTTGCTAAGTACAAAGCATATATATGTGATAAAGAGATGCAAAGTACAACACTTCATGCCCTAGAAACTGGTATAGGATTCTTGCACGATTTCTTGTTGTGACCACCTTTTTTGCACCGAGAACAACGCTGTCCGGATGCAAATTCACTAGTTGAAGGTATCCGCTTCTTTTTGGGTCTACCAGGAGGGCGGGTATCACAAGTAGGTGGCCTACATAAAACTGAACTCACATGAACTGGAATGTGCCAATCTATCGGAGAACCAATAGGATGCATCTCTCCACTGTATGTGCTAGCCCACGCGTGTCTGAAATAATAACTACATATATAGTCATAGCATGATAAGCCCCGACGATGATTGACGGCAGCAACACCATGGACACAAATGAAATGCTCTAGTTGAAAAAAATGACATGAACATGTCCATTCCTTCAAATTAACAACAAAGCTTCGAGAGGTTTTATCAACAACCTCAAATTCATATGCACTAGCAGGCTTCACCTAAATAAAAATGTTGAAAACAGATTGTTATTACGAATTATTAATACAAAAACTAACTAAAAAGTTTTGAGGTAATGAATGTACCATCATCATGGATGACTCTGCATGGAAGGTACGAAGCTTGATCTCAAAATGGTCAGACAGGAGTGTTCTATTTTTTTGCAGCTTCATCTTGACGAGCACAGAACCATTCTTGCATCCTACCCTGCAAAAAATCTACTAACTTTGCTATTGGATACTCACGTGGGATTCTGTCCATAGAATTCATTGACTCAGCATTGTTTGATGTCATCACAGAGTACCTAGTACGCGGACTGCAACACCGTGCCCACTTCTCAAAACCAATAGCAACCAAATATTCACGAATACGAGGATCTCATCAACATCTAATAAAGATAAATACTCTTTGAGTTCAGTGCTTGTGGCAGACCTAGCTGCGTGATTGAACTTCTATGCCAAACCTGTACCAGATCCTCTAAATTTTGTTCTCAGATTGCCTAAAATATGCTGAACACAGTAACCGTGTTCAGCATGTGGAAAAACAGTTTTTGCTGCATATATAATTCCGTCATGCCGATCCGAGACAATATACAAATCACCTCTATGAGCAAGAGTCTCCTTTAACTTGTTAAAAATCCAAAACCACGTATCCTTTCTTTCAGTGTCACACACACTAAAAGCCAAAGGGAAAATCCGTTGGTTCGAATCCTGAGCACGTGCTGTTAGTAAAGTGCCCTTGTAATAGGCTTTCATGAAGGAACCATCAATAATAAGTACTGGAAAGCAATGTTTCCAGCCATCAATCCATGGCTTTAATGACATGAAAAAGTACTTAAAACGCGAATCATCACCAATAATCAGTGAGATCATTGAACCTGGATTCTTTTGCTCCAAAACATACGCAAGAGATGGCATAAGCTGGTAAGACTCCTCATCTGAATCCATTAATTTCCGCTGAGCCTTTAGGATTGCACTCCATGTTTTTTTGTAAGGAAGAGTTATACCATAATCTCTTTTTATGTCAACTATTATATCATTAGGAGTGTATGGCTTTCTCGATGCATCTGCATATCGGTGCTTTATGAGTTCTGCAATAATTTCAGATGTGGCTTGACGATGACTACCTTGTCTAAAATCATTAGACCAGGAATGATCATAATCAAACTTGAAAATAGGAACACAAAGAAACATAAGTAAAGACAGTAAAATAAACTAAATAGACATTAAACATGTACAACAAGACATTAAAATAAAAAACCAAGAACATGAAATTGAGAATACAATGTATGACTTGTAAAATCAAAACAAGTACCTCTTAATCTGGAACATACGACTCCCAGAAAGCATCACTCCATGAACAGCCCACTTGCAATCTTCATCAACACAAATCACACGCAACACTTTGCATTTTGACGTCTTTGTCTTATATTGAAAATGATTTGTAAGTGCATACATCTTTAAATGGTAATCCAACGCTTTTTTATTCTTATATATAACATCTTTGGCTATATGAGTAGGATGAAAGTGAGAATGGACTTCTAAATCAGGAACAACACACAAAGAATGAAACTCAGAGTATGAATCAAAACTGTCAGGTTCACTTGAAGAAGAAAACGTTGAAAAACTATTGCTATAAATGTCTCGTGAATCAGCATGGGAATAGGAATGAATGTCTTCTGAGTTCATCAAATCAGTTGGTTGGTGCACTTGTTCATCTGTGGCAACAACATTAGGTTCATGGGAATAGGAATGAATGTTTGCTGAGTTAACGAAATCATTACATTGGTGCATCGGTTCATCCATGACAACAACATTAAGATCAATGTTTGCAGGCTTATCCTTTTGCTGAACAGTCATTAACGGAGAGTCGGAAGATATATTGAGATCAATTGCAGAATATTCGGGAGAGGTATGATTATTGAGATCAACATGACTATTGTTGCTCCCGGTTAAACAAATAAACAGTCTAGAGGGGAGGGGGGGGGGGGTGAATAGACTGTTTTGGATCTTCAGTTTCTTGCGCGACACAACTCCTGTTTCACAAAGTTAGTCTAGTCCTGGACAGAACAGACTTGCAGCAGATAGTATTATGGTCAGGTAGCCTTTCAGAAAACACAATAAGGCAGTAATGCCTTTCTGTTAACTCTAAGAACAAGTTTTGCTCAACACAAAGTCCAAGTTTTTGGAGTCAACTAGTTAAAGTCCTAGATGCAAATAATAAGAGAAGTAACTAAATGACACCAATGATTTTTATAGTGGTTCAAGGAACAACTCGTTCCTCTAGTTCACTATTCAACTAAGCTTGTAAAAACTCGTTACAACACTTGGATCCTAGCACTTAAAAAACTCTCCACGTCTTCTTCAAGTTTAATTCTTTGTCACCCGGGATGCACTTGCTTGCTTCCTGATGATTGACCTTTTCACCAAGCTTGCTTGAAGTATCTTCACTTCACTTCGGATACTGTAAAGGTTGGAGCACTGCTGTCCCCAGGTCGCCGGATCACCGCCAATTCCCCCCAGATTTTTTTTTGCGATTTGCCAGAAATCCAGCCACTCACCCGCCCGCCGCCGTCACCCTCGCAGGAAATTGTTGCCACTGCCTGAGTCTGCTACCGCCATCAGAGACTGATCTTGCCACCAACAAGCTGATTTAGTTATGGAACGGAATTAGGAGGCAATTAATTAAGTTAATTAATTAAATTAAATGAAATAACTTAGAAGTGTTTGCGATTGCTCCTACTTTGAAAAAAAATATTTTTTAAAGTGATTTTGGATAAAACGTTTAATAGTAAAAATTGATAGTGTTTAAAAAAAATTGATTTTCAAAAATAAAAGTTGATAGAGCGATAAAATATGTAATTGAAAATGTAAAAAGGAGATTGTAATGTAAAATCACTTTTTTATCTTTTACAAACATACCCGAAGTACTATGTAATATCAATATCTGAAACAGAAATTTGCACCAACTGGGCCACCTGACAACCACCTAAAATGGATTTTGTTGAGACTCCTGTAACCGCAGTGGCGTAATGTTTAAGAAATGTTCATGCTACTGCGGGTCTTCTTCGTGTCGCCTCAGTTGTTGATCCTCGCCCCTCCGGGCGTAAAGACTACCGTGGTGTAATCTTCAATTTCTTCTACTAATTCCGCATTCGCTCTCGAATCTGGCCGTCTGGCACTGAGGTCTGCACTTGCATATTCCCTTACCTGAACCATTTTCGCAACCCTCCTAAATTCCTAATCCGAGCTGTCTGTGTTCTCAAGAACTAGTTATTGTGACAGCTGTTATGATATGCAATCAATTCGTCACTTCATGTGAAGCGCCTGCCATTAGCAAGATCAATAGATTGCAAAAGCTATAGCTCAGAGAACATGCAAATGATTAGCCCGTGTCTGGATACTTTTGCAGTTATGGCTGCAGGAAAAAAACATTCGTTTTTCAGAATTGGATTGTGGCTCGTGTTTGATAATGTCAAGCATAGCATATTTCACTTCCATTAGATTAAGATTCATGCTTCTCGAATCTCGACTGATAATCTTGCTTTATGTTACTCTGGATTGTAGTTCAGTGTTTGATACATGTCTTGACTAACATAGTTCATCTCCATTAGAATAAGATTACGGCTTCTGGACTGATAATCTTCTCTCTTTATCACTTGCTCACTTTTGACTATCCTTTTGCCAAATTTAAACAATGGGCATGTTATTGCACCAAATTTTGTCTTGGGCATTGCGATTCACGCGTGCCTAAAACTAGTTATACTAGAAACTTGATATGGATGCTTACTATTTTTTTTGAAGTTATTGTAGGTATGGACAATGTAGTGCAGCGAGTTTTCCAAGAAGGTGGCCGTGATTTTTACCAGCAGCAGCCTTCAACCTCTTCTTCTACTTCTTCCATTCTTCAATCACTTCCTCTTCATGTGGTATGTGAAATTTAACTCTCTCAGTTTACTTTTTTTCTATTTTCTTTTTCACTGCGTTAATTGCCTAAATATGTAATGGGTATCTTTCTGTGGTAATTATGGCAATATTTCTGATGATTTGCTATTTTTTTATTTTAATGTTGTAAATAATCTCTTGTACTCCCTCCATCCGATAGAAATGCTCTCACTTTTCTTTTTTTGGACGTCCCATATAAAGGTTCCCATTTCCATTTTAGAAAACAATTAACAATCTTAAATGACAAATTAATCAATAAATATTAAAAACAATACATTTATAACATCACAATTATCAACACTAACCCCATTATATTATATACCTATTAAAATTATTTCTTAAAATATACTCGAACTACCTATTTTAATTATTATCTAAATAATCGTGTCGTTTTGCCATGGGAACTTTTCAACGGGACATAGATAGAACTTTATTTGCTTCAATACACTTTAATTTAGGATTTAGAAACTTGAAGCACATTTCAAAGACCAGTTAGTCCTGTATTGTATGCAGTATTCAGTGCAGAGTGAAGACAAGTTTCATATAAAATCCTGACCACATATTTCCTGAAATTTGCAGTCTTTTGATCATGGTTATTACTTGTTGGTAAAATCTATACAAGAGCTAAGGTTGAAGAAAGATGGCTTGGTAGTTGTTGGTATAGGAGGGCCTAGTGGTTCAGGGAAAACTAGGTAACATTTCTTTTTATAGTACTTTATATTGTACCTCACATTTTTTATTTTTTACTTTCTTGAATTCGAGTTAGAGATTAAGTAATATAGTTTTGCTTTAAGGGGTTGTTCGTTCAAATAATAATAATATATGATGTAATAAAATTATTATGTATATATGTATATTTAATTTTAATACTACTTCACATCTGGAGATCATTTCTCTAATGTGTGTTGTTGGATTTGAACTTATTAAAGAAATTCATAGAGCACATTAAATGATTTCTGAAGCTTAGCAGAGAAAGTGGCATCTGTGATTGGTTGTGTTGTCATATCAATGGAGAATTATAGCACCGGGATTGATGAAGGCAGTGAATTGGATTTAATAGACTTTGATCTTCTTGTCCAGAATCTTGAGGTATACCTTTATTGTTGTTGATAAAATGAAGAGACATCATTAGTCTAGGAATTACTTTCCTTATTATTACTGTAATTATGAGTCTTTAGTGCTTCGGGTTTTAATTAATACTTGTTGTCTTTTCAGTTTGTATTCATTTATGTTTAGTATTCAGACAGTCACCTAGGGTACTGAATAGACACTTCCATTATTTAGCCAGTATATATATATATATACCCCAACGTGTATATATTGCACATTTTCACAATATTTACCAAAATGCCACCGTGTTATTTAATATAGGCTTAATTCGAGCAAATTGAAAATGTGCAATAGAATAGCTCCATTGTGCACCACGTTGATTTAAATGTGACCGTTCTCACGTTCTCACGTTAAGCATCCTTCTCACCGGAACCGCACCCTATAGGGAAGAGTTCAAATGAAAAGTGGTCTTCCCGTGCAAAGTGCAAAGTTTGCACTTTTTCATGTCACTTTTTCTTGTTTGCGTTGCACTTTTCGGTCATTTTGATTTTGGCCAAATTCGGCCAAAATGACGGTGGCAGTTTTTGTAAATAAACCAATTTTTTGAGCTACCGCGAAAAAGTGCAACGAAAACAAGAAAAAGTGCAAGCGAAACATGAAAAAGTGCAAATTTTGCACTTTGCACGTTAAGACTACTTTTTATTTGAACCACCCCCTATATATATATATATATATATAGGTCTGTACTTCTTGTAAAAGATAGATCTATCTATAATAGTATACAGAAAACTTCAATTGTCACATGAAGTTTTCCTCTAAAAGTTGGTTCAGCTTGTATCACATTTAAGGCATTGTGCGCAAAGTTGGTGGGTTTGTTTGTGCTATTAGTACTTAATATTCTATAATAATTATACAATTGCAGCAAATGTAGTAATGGAATTGTAATGCACAGGGACAATTGCCAATACAATTCATCAAAACCGTGATCTATTATTTAAACTTCTATAACTTGTTTATGGTTTTAATAGGATCTCATAAATGGCCATGATACACATAGCCCAGTGTACGATTTTCAAGGACGAAAACGAGTGGGTTCCAAAGAAATAAAAAGCAGTTCATTTGGAGTGGTAAGAGTGTATAATTCTTCTTCTATTACTTTAACCAACAAATGTATCACGCTTTAATGTTTAATTTTAGGTAATAGTTGATGGTGCTTATGCTCTGCATGCAAGATTGCGCTGCTTGCTAGATATACGGGTTGCTGTGGTATCATACCATTCTTCACATTCTATTTTTCATCGTCTTGAAATATTTGTGCTTCAAATTCCTTTGGTGGTGGTGTGGATGGTGGATTACTGAAAAACTAAAACTAGTTTTAGTTGTGTCAAATGAATTACATTAAATTAAATGTGCATACTTAGGTTGGGGGTGTCCACTTTAGTCTGCTTTCCAAAGTGCAATATGATATTGGGGATTCTCGTTCACTTGATTCCCTGATTGACAGCATCTTCCCACTTTTTAGAAAACACATTGAACCGGACCTTCATCATGCACAGGTAAAGCTCCGACTTTCAAGCGTCCAGTTCACCAGTGAAAGTATTTGATGTTTTTTTTCCTTTAATGGTTGTAATATATATTCTGCATGTTGGACAGATCAGAATTAACAACAGCTTTATTTCATCATTTAGAGAGCCAATCTACAAGCTAAAGTGCAGAAGTGAGGTGCAATAAAACTCAATGCCATTTAATTTCCAAATGGAATTTCTAAACCATTAATCTTTGTGGATGCAAATTATTTCTTTTAATGACATAATTTGCTGTGACATTTTATTTTGAAGTAGCGTTTAAAATAATTCTCACCTTTGACATTTTCTCCTTTTCTGTTTGGCCTGAGAGTAAATTTAGATGGCTGCTTGAAATGCTGTAATGTAAAAAAATCCTGTTTATCCCCAAAATATTTCCAGAAAACATATATGAGCAGCCTATCATTTTTATGGAGGAACCCCAAACCTTTTCACGAGAATCATTGTTCTCCTTTTTGTTTGTATAAATAAAGGAGAAAATACATATTATTGCATAATAAATGATACTTGAGGAAGAGATTTTAATGTTTCCTTCGGCATCCGGGGATACAAATTCTTTGATGCTTTGAGAAATGGGATTTATGAATGTTTACATGAAGATATCAAATTAAGTTCAACCTTCTTCTGAGTTGGACTTTGCTTGAACTAAGAAATATCACGACTTCAGTTGGCTTTATATGTGATAAGTAACTGAAGAATCCAAGAAGAAAGTAGTAGTTTATTGATGAAAATTTAGTGAAGGAATACAGAAAGTCACGAAAGGAAAGGTTTGAGACTCTTCGAGTGGTCTCTCACTCCCAATATCCCAGTCCTGATCCCAAGTTCTGCCCCCCCATCTAATCCCCACTCACCCTTATTTATTCTATTTCTAATGGGCCAGTCCACTTCTAATAAGTTGTAGGGCCTAAACCCTATTATTGAACAAAACTAAAATGGCTTAATAAGGCTCTAATTCTTGGAAGTGTTCAGGTCCCTAACATCACTCCCCCCTTTAACTTCCACCTTGTCCTCAAGGTGGATGATAAGAGACTGATTTTGCATTAGGTTCCCGCAAGTTTTCAGCTCCATCCCGCTCATAAAATTGATCTACTGTGCCCTCCTCTTCTTCTAGCTCTTCCCTCAAGATCAATTGATAATGTTTCATTCCACAAACATGCTCTTTGCCCCATTTGTTTCCACATTTGAAGCATAAGCCCTTCTTGCTTCTTTCTTCTAAGTCTGCTTGTGTCAACCTTTGGCCACCTTCCCATGTCTTACTCGGTTTTGGCGATTCCTCCAGTTTGTTCTCTGAAAGTGTTCTCTCCGGATTTAACGCAGGTGTTCTTCCCTTTGTTGCGTCTACCCAGTTCCAGGGTCTAACCATTTTTCCTCCCTGTTCCTTCCAACCTATGTTGTCTTCTTCTTTATTTTTTTTCCCTATCCACACCTTATTCTTCTGCTCCAACAACAAAGCCTTGTCCATCAGTTCAGTTAACCCACTGGTCTGGTGCAACTTCAGTTCCGTGCTAATTTCTTTTTTAAGGCCATTGAGAAACACTCCTTTTAACATCCCTTGGTCAGCAAGTTTGAGAGGAGCTACAACCATTTCAAAGTGATCCCGGTATTCCATTACAGAACCAGTTTGCCTAATACTGAGCATAGGACCAAACGGATTCTGCACTAAGGCAGGTTGAAAACGCCGGAACAAAGCATCTTTGAAGTTAACCCAAGAATGGTCATCAGTCTGTTCATCCCACCATTGGTACCAGTTCAGAGATTTTCCGGCCATGGCTATCAAGATTATTTCTACTTTATCCTCTTCTGCCACATGGTTGAGTTTGAAATAGCGCTCAACCCTAATCAGCCATCCATAAGCATCGTCTCCACTAAAAAGTGGTAAATCGACCTTTCTTCCAGTATATACACGGTCGCTGATTCTCTTCTGATAAGGGCTGCGTGAAACTGAGTGAGTTTCATGAGATTTACCTTCAGAACTAGAGGAGCTCACGCTTGCTGAAGTATGGCGACGACGGTTTGTGGTTGATCGTCCTCTTCTCTTATGGCGGTCACCCTGTAACATGATATTCTTCAATTCGGCCACGGTCTCACGCAAGCCAAGCAGTTCATTCACGGCAGTTCTCACTTCCGCTAGGGTGTTTTCCAGATTTTCCACACGTTGCTCCATTCTCGATCGGGTCAATACCATGCGCAGGTAAGGCTTTTGTCAATGGCTTTGATACCAATGATAAGTAACTGAAGAATCCAAGAAGAAAGTAGTAGTTTATTAATGAAAATTTAGTGAAGGAATACAGAAAGTCACGAAAGGAAAGGTTTGAGACTCTTCGAGTGGTCTCTCACTCCCAATATCCCAGTCCTGATCCCAAGTTCTGCCCCCCCATCTAATCCCCACTCACCCTTATTTATTCTATTTCTAATGGGCCAGTCCACTTCTAATAAGTTGTAGGGCCTAAACCCTATTATTGAACAAAACTAAAATGACTTAATAAGGCTCTAATTCTTGGAAGTGTTCAGGTCCCTAACAATATGCTTCTGAGTTCAACATTTTTATTCATCATGTACTTGTGTTGATGAATCATGTTATTGTACACATAATTCCTACCGAGTTATTAATGGATGGCTAAACTATATTGTATGATTCTATGTGACAACTGGGCACCATGCTTATTTTTTCCCTTCATAATGTTACCATCCGTAATGATAAGGATTAATGATACACCTCTATTATGTGCTAGTGTTGTCTTTTTAGTGGCGTCTATCTGAAGCTTCTAAATCCTAGCTCAATTTCCTGACTATTTATGCTTCTTGCAGCCTGAATGTCAACTTATGTTGCACATTTTTCAAGGGAAGGATGCCCAGATAGATAAGTGTGTTCTATACCTAATAGCCTTTATTATTTTAAGGGGTTATAAATTATTTTACAGTTTTATTCTTCTACTTTTTAGTTTTAAGATTACATCTTTTGGACGTTTGCTTTCAGTTTCATTGAAATGTACCTTAGACCTCCATCTGCAAGTGAAGAAGCAAGGATAAATGATTGGATTAAGGTGCGGCAATCGGGAACCCGATACTATCTATCTCTAGGTGACCAACGAATTGTTGACAAATATTTCATTATTCGGCCAAAAGCAGAGTTTGAGGTCAGATATCTTTTGACAATGCATTTTAATCTTGCATACACAGCTAATGATCTTCTGTGTCTACTATTTATGCCTGCTTATCTTTTCTGATGTTAAGATGCCACGGGTGTTATCATTTTTTGGGTGTTCAGTTCTGGGATTTTGAAGCAATATGGTGCTTGGGTAGCTCTTCATTATCACAGAATACTGTTTACTCTAACCCCAATTGTGACGAGTTTACTCCAATTATATGGCTAGCTAGTACTATAATAGTGAAAAGAATGTAAACACTAACTCGTAATATTGTGGTCTGCCTGGTGAGCTTTTTATTGACGTGACTGAAATAATATACTACATAGTATTGAAGTGGTTGAGTTGAGTTCTTGAGCGTATAATCATGTGAGTGATTATTTTTAATAGATTGAAAGATGCAATAACATCTAAAACATCACAGATAACTATGTCTTATGTATCAATGTATGTATATGTATGTATGTATTGTACAGATGGATGGGCGGGAAGGCGGGCCCCTTTATATACTACTCATGTTGTTTAACCTGGCCAAACAATGAGAGACATTTATAAGTATTTATCTAACGTAAGTTAAATACTATGTATACAAAAGTAAATTGAAATATAAGATCTTAGACAATTCATATTGACACTTCAGATCAGAGGATTGATCTTACTTTGTAGAATACGTGTTTGCCGGCGAAAAATCTATCACGAGTTACTTTGAAGGTCTTGAAAAAGTATTGTGACTCATATGTGTGCGGATTGTTCTCCATGTGGGGAAAAACTCAGCTAGTATTGGAACAGTGTTCTCTATAAAATAAAATAAACGATAGTATATATATAAAACAAAGTATAAATGGACAAACCATATAATTGTTGCCATGCACATAATATATAATGCATGCATGCATGTACACACATATACATTATGTATATACAAGTATATAAATATATGTAGGATCAAATGAGAAACATGCTTAACGTGAGAACGTGAGAGCTCCACTTTTAAACAAATGTGATGCACTATGTCTCTTATACCTTGCACATTTTCGCGTTGACAAAATATTTGCGAATCTGCCACCATAATTATTTGATGTTGGCATGTTTTTACCAAAGTTTAAAAAGTGTAATAGATTAGCCGCATAGTGCACCAAATTGTGTTAAAAGTGCACGGTTCTCAGTTCTCACGTTTAGCATGGTTCTCATTGGAACCGTTCCCTATATATACGGAATAAAAACATATATGTGCATATATGTATATAGCATGGTTCTCATTGGAACCGTTCCCTATATATACAGAATAAAAACATATATGTGCATATATGTATATATATGTGTACTTATATAGTTATATGTGTATAGAACATGAGCTATTTGCTTTGAGCATTCAGGAAATATTAGTTGAAATTATTTGTAACTGAGGAACAATATTAATTCACTTTTTGTTTCTCTGGGGAAATTACGATTTATCTTTTTAGTCAGTTTATTGATTGGACATTTTTATGGCGTAATGCCTTTGTTGAAGACACCCCACATTTATATTACCCATGACCATTCGTAATCTTATCCGTCTTTGATGCCTATTTAAATCTGTGGAAGTAGACTAGTGTGTAACTAATTTTAGCATAAATCATTGTGTTCAGCTTGCCTTTCTTTTATTCTGATCCTTTTGTGATTTATTAAAGGTTGGACGGATGACCCTGGGTGGTTTACTTGCGCTGGGGTATACTGTTGTTGTCAGCTATAAACGAGTGTCAACCTCTGTCAGCGAGGGTGGATTTTCTGTTTCACTAGAAACGATTGATACACTTGGGGAGACTTACATGGTCTTGAGAGGGTCAGATAGAAAGGTACAGATTTGTTTTCGTCCTCTTACTGATTTTCTATAGGTTCTCTTATTTTCCACATAGAGGTAATAACTTTCTCCTTTCCTTCTGGAGAATCAGTTTTTTTCCCATTTTTTCTCATGCATATTTTCAAAAATCTTTATTGTTGTTGAATAATAGAAGTTACTTTGTAGCTGTTGATAAACTTTATAAACATCAGAGCTGAGACACCCTAAAAAATTCTTTATGGTCATTTTAGTTGTACTGGCTGTCCGCGTGTTGTACACAGGTCATGACATTAACATAGTAATTCTTTTAATCTTGAAATATTTCACACCAAATATCAAACTGTCATTATGACAAATTTTCCACACATCAACAAACTACTATGTCTTATGAGACTCTCACTATTATTCTCTAATGGAGTTGTCTTCAGTTAGATACAATTCATAAGCTACTGGACACATTGAAAATGTGATCTTTATTGAGCCGTCCTCTTCTATATGGTCTTCTGTGTATTTACTGCATGGACTGTTGGACTATGAGCTTGTAAGAGCCTTTGCAAGAAAAGTCAAGGTCATCGCCGAACTAAAATAATTTTTTAGGATTACAACCAAAAGTTCGCAGAGACATAATGCTCAAAGTGAATCATGGTTTTTGACCAGAAGCTTAAGTTCTGAATGATTAAACATTGTGTTTTGTAGAAACTATAAATGTGTAACCATTGGTTGCATTGTGTGCTGTAGCTGATGACAGCAAACTCATCTTTCTTGTTCATGGACATTGTTATTTTGGATGTGGACAATATCAATGGGTACGCCTTTCTTTTGCAGATGGTTGGAGCTGAAGCATCGAGGATGGGCATTAATGGTCCTTGGATTACGAAATCCTATCTTGAAATGATTATGGAGACAAAAGGTTTTATTTCGAAGCAAATGTTGTGATATCATTATTTTTCTATTATAATCATAGTAAGAGTAATAATTCATCTTTTTCATCATCTTCTTCTTCTTCTTCTTATTGTTGTTGTTGTTGTTGTTAAGTTGAGCATAGAATACATGCATTTCTTTTCCGCTGGTTAATTCAAGCATTGATTTATCTTCATCATTTTCAGTTCATGATCAGTATTTAGTTGTCCCTAAGGAGGACCAGGTCATATAGTACTCATCTTAGTATAATCAACTGATGGAGGTTTAATCCCATCCATGGGTTTTAGCTTGTAATCATCTGGCTGGACTGCTTTACCCTAAATCCTGACCTGTGTTTTGATGGACAAGGCACTATTAGGTAATTAAAAGTGGTACCTTATGCGTTAGTGAATGGACATTTTTTAATTTTGGGATCTTCGTCACTGGTCATAATTCCATTTCTCTTTGTCCACGTCTGTTCAAATATTTGATTTCTATGCTACAGAAAGTAAGCAGTTGTGCGAACCATTCTGTTGGAATGGAAAGTATAAGGAAGTTTATGGATTGTTTATCAATAACAGCAATTGTGGACAAAATGTTCCAGTTGATATTAGATAAAATATGCAAAACATCATTAAAAACACTCATAAAAAGTTAATAAGCCACAGGAGTAGCTGCACATATAAGCATCCGTGTCAACAAGCACTTTTGGACGCTTATGTACAAGAAATTCGGAGTTAGCCTCTCACCATGTTAGTTTATTATTTTTACATGAAGCACAACTGTGCGCAACATACTCATATAGTCATATGTATAAAATATGCTAAACACCATCAAAACTCAAGCAGAAAAAACTTTATAAACTACAGGAGTAACGAAACACATTTATAATTCATAAAGTCCATCTCCATCTTTCATGAACTGTAATTAATAATTTTTGTGGTATGAGTGAGCATTCTATCTCCTTGTGTTATCTATTGTTACTCATTTTCTTGCATCATATACTCCATATATCTGTGCTTACACTTCTATTATCTCATCCCAAGCCTCTTCACGTGCTAGCCATTTGTTGTTCATGAAAGTACGAAAAATTGAGAACCACTCATCAGCTTTTGAGGATGGGTCTAATATTACCTCACAGACATTCATCAGTTAATGTATTCACAAGCAAATTCTAAAGCGATCCACTTCCTCATATTTTCTGTACGAATTTAGTATGGTAGTTTGGCCTATGGACATATATGTGTACACATGTGTCTCTGTGTGTATGCATGTGTATGTACACTCACTCGCACATTCATTTATCGTTCATCTATGTTCTCTAAGCTTATTCAGTTCACGTTTGCAGGGGTTCCCCGATTAAATACACCACCTCTTTTGGCTGATGGATCAGACGCTACTTCAACTAGCAACCAAGAAAGGTTGATAATCACTCCTAAACCGCTTCATGTGATCCCTAAGCTTGTCAGCGGGCTTGATGATTTGTCTCAGCCTTGGACTCGGTCTCCAACCAAATCAAAAATGGAACCATCTATGGCAACATGGCGTTTCATGTCACCAGAACCTCTACTTACCCATGGCTCACCTGTTCGCATGTATGCGGCTCACTTAAGCCTCTGAGTGTGACTCTATATTTTTTGAAGTCCTGTTATTAAAAAAGTCATAAATCTATCTTGTTCCAGGGATGACCTCCAACTTGTTCCATTACCGGATTCATATGATTTAGATAGAGGGTTAATTCTTTCTGTTCAAGCAATACAGGCAAGTATTATATCATATTCATTACTTTTGTAGTATGGAAAGTCAATATTGATGAGTGCCATTTTTGTAACGATAAATATAAATTTGGCTTGTTGTAGGTTTTATTAGAGAACAAGGGTCTGCCAGTGGTAGTTGGAATTGGTATAATTGCATCATTCTCTTTCTCTCCTTTCCCTTCAATATTCTTTCTTTGCCACCATCTCCCCAAATATTATTTCAATTTGTGAATTTTGAGATTTGAGATGTATGGAGGTTAGCGGTGGGCGTGGCATTAGTAAGTTGCCTCCTGCTAGATAGGGTAAGCAATATGGAAGAAACTAGTACTCCCTCCGTCCCTAAATGTTTGTCACACTTTGACTTCACAAGTTTTAAGGAGTTGAATTTGACTTTACACTGTAGCGACACTGTTTCACACTGTAGCGGCACTGTTTGGCACTGTTTTGCACTGTTTGACACTGTTTGGTATAGATTTGTTTACCAAATAAGAAAGTTTAAAAAGTATGACAAACATTTTGGGACATCCGTTTCGGGAAAGTGTGACAAACATTTAGGGACGGAGGGAGTATAAGAAGATTCTAATATGAATTGTATTACTTCTTAATTTCTTATTATATAAGCTAATACCACTAACCTAGGTACTTATTTTTCATTACTGCCCTTCAAGCTATAAGGTGTAATCAAGTGACATGAGTTCTCTGGGAAGCAACAAGGGAATATCACAGTACTGTGAATTATTTCAGAAGACAACATCATTGGGGATATCAGTATATCACACAAAACTCATGAGTTCTTCATAATATAACACCAAAGGGAATATCATGTCAGCTCATGCGCAAACCATGTCCAAACATGTAGCCACTCATAGGAATAGACCAAACAGAAATTTCCGAACATAATATACACATAAACCCATCACATGTGAAACCTGAGAGTGAAAGTTTTGGATTTCAAATTATGCATCATGAATATGACCCTCAAGATTCGAGAATGGAGACCTGAGTGTCATGGCATGGGCACATGGTGCCAAAAAAGCAAAATCCTATCAGAACATAGCAAGGCAAGATCTTTAGGACAAACTAATAAGGGACAGCTTTAGGAACGAATATTAGTTTCACATGAGGCTATTGAAGACGCGGCATGAATATGCCTCTCAGGGTTGAAGATGAGAGCTCTAAGGGACAAGACCAAACCTTAAAAACCTCATAAGATCACCACCACAAGAGTGCTCTAATACATATGCCAAATGGCTTTCATTTGTGTGTGAATGTTGCAGTAATGATGCAAAGATAACGTGGAAGATAAAATAGAAAGATGCCTGAGTGATCTGGCCAAACCAGTATGCCTCCCCAAGTGTGAAAACTAGTGGAAACCACCAATGTACTGATGACAATGTGAATAAATGATGAATCATTTCAATTGCGGGTTCCTCCACATTGATTTCTTGTCCTTTTACTGACTAATTTTACGGAAAAGTCATCATAATTATTACACATGGGCAGTCTTTGGATGGCCTAACTAGAACCTCCTTGCTTTATTGATACTCTATAAAACATGTAAATAGTCATTGCAATAATAACACATGCTTAGTGAAGTTTTCTGAATATTATTTCCTTGAATACATTTACAAGAAGTACATAAGCTATTTATACAGATAGGAATCCTGAGAGAGTCTATTCAGCACCCTAGGTGACTGTCTAAATACTAAACATAAATGATTGAGAACTGAAAAGACAGCAGCTATTAAATACAACCTGAAGCACTAAAGATACATAATTACAGTAATAATAAGGAAAATAAATCCTAGATTAATGATGTCTCTTCGTTTTATCAACACTCCCCCTCAAGCTAGGTTTGTAGATATCCGTCATGCCTAGCTTGACAATAAGACCCTGGAACCTAGGACTGTGCAGAGGTTTGGTAAACACATCTGCAACTTGATCTTATGAGGGAGTGTAGCTTAGTTCGATCAGACCTCCTTCAACCTTTTCTTTGATAAAGTGCCTATCAATCTCAATATGCTTGGTCCGATCATGTTGGACTGGATTATGAGCTATGTTGATTGCTGATTTGTTATCACACCTCAATTCCATTGGTCCTTTCCACTTGATTCGTAAATCTAAGAGAATAATTCTGATCCATAGAAGTTCACATAAGCCATGGGCAAGAGCTCTTAGCTCAGATTCAGCAGATGATCGTGCCACAACATTCTGTTTTTTGCTTCTCCATGTCACGAGGTTTCCTGCTAGGAAAACACAGAGACCAGTAGTTGACCGGCGGTCAACGAGGGAGCCACCATAATCTGCATCAGTGAAGGCTTGGACTGATAATTGCCCACCCTTCTTGAATATTATCCCTTGCCCTGGACTTCCTTTTAGGTAGTGAAGAACCCTATAGGCTGCTTCTAGATGTGGTTTCCTTGGATCATGCATGAACTGACTCAAAACACTAACTGCATAGGCAATGTCAGGTCTAGTATGAGAGAGATAGATAAGTTTGCCACACAAGCGCTGATACATTGATGAATCAACCTTGGGTTCATCAGTAGCAAGTCCAAGCTTGTGATTAGGATCCATAGGTGCATTAACCGGTCGACAAGCACTCTTACCGGTCTCATTTAACAAATCTGTAATGTACTTTTGTTGGCTGATAAAGATGCCTTCAGATGAGCGAGCAACTTCAATTCCAAGAAAGTATTTTAGAGGGCCAAGAGACTTCATCTCGAATTTGGATTTCAGCTGCCCCTCAAGACGTTGTTTCTCAACTGGATCATTACCCGTCACAATGATGTCATCCACATATACCAAAAGAATAGTGACTCCATTTGGGCGAGAGTGTTTGTAAAAAAGAGTATGATCCCCTTGGCTTTGACTATACCCAGCAGCAAGAACAACCTGTGTGAAGCGGTCAAACCAAGCACGAGGGGATTGCTTGAGACCATAGAGGGCTTTTTTTAAATGACATACATGTGTAGAGGTTCTTGTTGATGTTTTATTAAAGCCTGGGGGAATGTACATGTAGATCTCATCATGCAAGTCACCGTGGAGAAAAGCATTCTTGACATCAAATTGCAATAAAGGCCAATCAAAGTGAGATGCCAAGGATAGTAGGATACGGACAGTATTGAGCTTAGCTACAGGAGCAAAGGTCTCTTGATAGTCAATCCCATACGTCTGAGTGTATCCTTTAGCCACAAGACGAGCTTTGTACCGCTCAAGAGATCCATCAGCCTTGTATTTGACAGTAAAGATCCACCTGCAACCAACAATATGCCTCCCAGGAGGTTTAGTCACAATATCCCAAGTATGGTTCTTTTCAAGAGCTCTAATTTCCTCTTGCATAGCATCCCTCCATTCTTTCTTTCCTAATGCCTCAGAAACAGAGTTGGGTATGGGAATTTCATTAAGTCTCTGAACAAACAAGGCATGTGAAGGAGAGAAGTTATCAATGGTAACAAAATTAGCAAGAGGGTATAGAGGTGTTTTGGTACATTGACGTACACCCTTGCGTAAAGCAATTGGCGGAGATGGTGGTGGAGAAGAAGAGACATTACCTGGGTCAGCCAATTGGTCATGCGTCAACAATGGAGTGAACCTGTTTTTCCTTGAGTACACTTTTGTCACTGGTAGAGGAGAAGATGGGTCATGAGTGGTGGATTTAGTAGGTGTAGGAATGGGATGATCTGGTGGTGTATTTGATTGAGGTTCAGGTGATGTTGAAGACTGTTGGGAAGTAGGTGAGGTTGCTGACACATCTAAGGAAGGTGATGGATGATCATGTGGTGGTGGTGGTGATGGGATGTCTGGTGATAAAGGCTTAGGAGGGTAGGAGATTGTATGTGGTGGAGAAGATGTAATAGTATAGGTGGGCAGAGGTGAAGGATGTGGAGTATCTTGGGATACAGGGAGAGAAGTAGGAGTGTAAAAAGGTGTGTCTTCGTGAAAGGTCACATCTGCACTGGTGTATGTCTTTCTGGTTGTAGGATTATAGCACTTATATCCTTTCTGAGTTGGAGAATAACCAAGAAAGATACACTTAATAGATCGTGGGTCCAATTTTCCCCTATGAGGTGGAGGAATATGAACAAATGCAGTACACCCAAACACCCTTAGATCAAGATCAGAAGAAATTCTGGTTTGAGGAAAGAAATGACGGAGAGATTCAAGGGGTGACTTATTTTGGAGTACCCGACCGGGAATTTTATTGATGAGATGACATGCTGTGAGTGTGGCTTCCCCCCAATAGTGTTTAGGCATATTTGATTGAAACAATAAAGCCCGACTGACGTCTAGGAGATGGCGATTTTTTCTTTCTGCTGTGCCATTCTGTTGTGGTGTGTACGGACAAGAGGACTCATGAACAATGCCTTTTGAGAGGAAATAAGAGGAAACGGTTTGATTGAAGTATTCAAGAGCATTATCAGTGCGGAAGCGTTTTATTGTGGCGGAGAACTGATTATGAATCATATTGCAAAAGATAGGAATGATGGAACTCACCTCACTCTTGTTTTTTAGCAGAAAAACCCACATAAAACGTGTACAATCATCAATAAATGTAACATACCACCGGGCACCAGATATATTAGCAATTGGAGCAGGACCCCAGACATCACTATGTATAATATCAAAAGGAGAACAACTGATTGTATTACTTCTGGAAAAAGATACACGAGACTGTTTAGCAAGTTCACAGACATCACATTGAAATGTAGAAACATCAATACTACTAAAAAGACTGGGAAACATGGTTTTTAGGACATGAAAAGAGGGATGACCAAGACGCTTGTGGTGAAGCCAAATAGTGTTGGTATTGGCTGTGATTGTGGTAAGAGCTTTTTGTGGAGGTTTGGAGACAAACAGTGCATCAAGGTAGTACAGGCCATCTCTTTGTTTAGCAATTCCAATCGTCCTCCCCGTGTGTAGATCCTGTAATAAACAGTGGGAAGGGAAAAAAATGGCAGCACAATTAAGATCAACTGTGAGTTTGTAAATAGAAGCAAGGTTCATAGCCAGGTTTGGGACATGTAGGGTGTTTTTCAGATTTAATTTTTCAGAAAAAACAACCGTACCAAGTCCCGCAACCTTTGTAGGTGTCCCATCAGCAGTAGTAATGTGCGTGGATGTAAAACATGGATGATAATTAGA